CACAAGACCGCCCCCTCTTCAGACACCAATCGCAAGCACAGGTAGGTAGTTACCTGTGCTTTTACTGACTGGCTATAGATTGGAGGTTCCCCAAACCCACAGTGTGGGTTCAGTTAATTTGCTAGAGTAGATCCCAGAATTCAGGAAAACACTTTACTTATTAGATTATCATTTTATTATAAAAGAACATAACTCAGGAACAGCCAGATGGGAGAGATGCATGGGACAAGGTATGTGGGAAGGGATGCTAACTTTTCACGTCTTCCCCAGGCATGCCACCCTCCCGGCATCTCAACATGTCCGCTGACCCAGAAGCTCTCTGAACTCTGTCCTTTCGGGTTTTTACAGAGGCTTCATTACATAGGCATGATTGGTTGATTAAGTCATTGGCCATTGGTGATTGAACTTAATCTCTGACCCTTCTCTCCTCCCAGGAGGTTGGAGGTTTGGAGGTGGGACTGAAAGTTCCAATCCTCCATCCATATAGTTGGTTCTCCTGCAAACCATCCTTCATCTTTAGGGACTTCTCAAAATTCCCTCATTGTGATAAACTAAGATGTGGTTGATGGAGGTTTGTTATGAGTAATTAAAGACCTTTATCACTCATATCACTGAGGAAATCCCAAGGGGCTTAGGAGCTCTGTGCCAGTAAGAAGACAAAGACCAAATGTATGTTTCTTCTTATAAAGCACAATATCACAGTGGACTATGGCTTTATCCTAAATAAAATGGCAAGTGAAAAGTCTAAAGTAAAAATTGTAAGGAGCCAACATGTATTGAGCTCCCACACAGCAGGTGCTGGCTATTATTTCTTTCAGTCCTCATTAGAACCTACACAGTAGGTACTATTATTCCCCATTTCACGGTTGGGAAAACCGAGATGCAGGGAGAGTGTGCCTGGGTCACCCTGGTGGTGGGTGGAGTAAGGCTCAAATCTGAGCAAGCTGGGCTTAGAGCCTGTGTCTGGGAAGGTTTCTCACTCTTCTGGAATCAGCAGCTTTGTAAAGCAATGCCATCATTTAGCATAATAAATTAGCATGATCCCCTGACTGGAATGAGAACTGAGAAGGAACAGATCATCAGGAAATGAGAAGTGACTGCCCGAAGGGGAACAATAAGGAAAGAGTAATTTGGGAACGGTCCATAAAAGGAAGCCAGCACGTGCACATCACGTGCAAATCACCTGCAACTCTTCCAGGTACTGGTGACTCTCTCATCACCTTTCACGAGCTGGTGCTTCTCTGGGCACGGCACCTGCAGCCCTTCCTCTGGGGATTTTAGGAGAACAGATAGGATGGTTACTGCAGAGGTTAGAGAGGAACCAGCTGAGTGGGCGTTGTGCTGCCTGGGAGCATCGCACTGGGAGGGAAAGAGCCGAATGTTGTGGTGAAGATAAGCAAGGAATGGGAATAAGACATGTGCCCGGGAAGGTGGCTAAGACCCCTGGGCCAACTTTTGCAGGGATTCCTGTTTTGAGAGGGTCAAGGTTGGATCTGTGTCTGTCAGGATTCCTCCTCTTCCGAACGCCAGGGTACCCTGGCCTGTACCAAGTAAGAGCTTTACTTCTACCTACTTTTGTGGAGAACCTGCCCTGAGCCAGCACTGTGTTGGTTCCCCTGGGCCTGCAGAGGTGAAGTGACTCTCAGGGACATCTCGGGTCCGTGGGAGGCAGAGTGTCAAATGCTTAACAGCAAGGAGGCTCTGCTGTTGGACCGTCCGCCTTCAGTCCCAGGCCCCACCCCTTGCTGCGTCACTGTGAGTACATTACCTGAATTGTCAGCGCTCCAGTCTGCTCATCTCTGAAATGACATTTGTCTCACAAAGCACTGAAGTTTGTAATTAGAATAGGTGTGAAAGCGTTTAGCAAACTGCCTAGCTCGTGGCCAGCTTGAGATCGGTATGGTTTCTGTTAATAAGCATGAGGAGGGGGGTGAGAAACATAAACAAGAGTGAGGGAAGGGACTGTGGAGGGACAGAGGAAGGTGTGCCTCACTGCCTGGAGCGGGCGCTCACTGAAGGAGCTCTGAAAACCGGGGGCTTCAGTGCCCGTGGGAGAAAAGCTCAGAATGGGCATCTGGAACGTGCTCCCTGGGTGGTTCCGCTGTGCTGTCTGCCTCTTAGCTGCCAGCAAACCATTAATTACTCTTCTTTAGAAGGAGCTTTTTATTATTAAAAAGTATACTTTGTAAGCCTTGGGAGATAGAAGAAATATCCTCCAAAATCCCTATACCCCAACACATTTATCATTAGCAGTGTGGTGAAACCCCCATTTTTCCTCACCTGTCTTGTTGTTGTTTTAATAGTTTTAATCATAATGCATGTGATAGCCATATTTTGCATTTTTGCCTGACTAGGCAATCATAGGCAATAATAGTATGTTGTTTTCATAATCGATTTTTATTTGGATGTTAAACTTTTTTTTCTGAATAGAAGTTGTTTTTATTCTCTTAAAAAAATCCCAGACATTCTGAACTGGTATAAAAAAGAAAGTACAAATCTAATCCCACACAGTGGTACTACTTAGTTGTAATTACTGACTGTGTGGTTATGGTCAGTGATTATCCCTAATTATGTCCGTGTTTATGTGTCCTTCCAGATTTCTTTTCTAAGCAAAGAAATGCAGACTTTTTAAATTTAGAGTGTTATATTATTTTATAACCTGTTTTTTCCTTTAGTTATACATCATAGATAAATAATTGTTTCTAATGACCACACAATTTAATTTTATGTTTATATCAGATTTATGTAACTAATCATCTATTATTGGATATTTGTTTTCTTTGTGTATGTGTCTATGTTTGTATATTTCTCTAGCATGTGGATTGACCATAATTTACTTAAAGGTTTAGCTATTTTTGGATATATAAGTAGTTTTTCCTTTGTTTCTGCTAGAATAAACAAGAATCATTGAAAAATCTTCAGGTATATGGCTTTCCTCATACTTTGAATAATTTCCTGTAGTGGAAGTATTGGGTCAAAGGGCAGGGACACTTTATGATTCTTGATTGGTATCACCAAGCTGCCTTTTCAAAGGGTTGTTTGTGCCAATTCAGATACTTCCAGCAACGTGCTGATACCCATTTCCGTCCTCCCACCCACTCCCCACAGTTAGTGGGTGGACTCGGGGATGTTCTCCATGAGAAGCTAGCAAGGGAGGTGCCATATGGACTAATGGGGGCAGGACAGAGGGCAGAGGAGAAGAGGAGAGAGAACGTGGGGAGTTCAGGGGAAGAGAAAGGAATGGACAGGAAAAAAAATGTTGCCTGTAATTTTTTCCAACTGGAAAAGTAATTCATGCCCTGGCTGGCATAGCTCAGTGGATTGAGCACGGGCTGCGAACCAGTGTCGCAGGTTCAATTCCCAGCCAGGGTACATGCCTGGGTTGCAGGCCATAACCCCCAGCAACCACACATTGACCTCTCTCTCTCTCCCTCTCTTTCTCTCCCTCCCTTCCCTCTCTAAAAATAAATAAATAAAATCTTAAAAAAAAAAAAGAAAAGTAATTCATGCTCCTTGTCAAAAAACCAACTTTTCCATAAATGTTTACATTTAACAGGGGTCCCCAACCCCCAGGCCAGGAGCCAGTGCTGGTGCAGGGACTGTGAGGAACCAGCCACACAGCTGGAGTCAAGCTTGAATGTAATGCGCTTGAATCATTCTGAAACCCGCCCCACTCTACCACCTGTCCATGGAAATACTGTCTTCCAGGAAACAGGTCCCTGGTGCCAAAAAGGTTGGGGACCGCAGCATTTAATATTGAAAGTCCTCCTCTAATGACAAGCTCTACTAACAGTTTAGGTATATTCTTGCAGATGATGATGATGATGATGATGATGATTTTTTACAATAATGAATGCATAACTTGTTTTGTTTAAAAGAACCTGCTTTGTCCTAGCCAGTAGCTTAGTTGGTTAGAGTGTCAACCTGATACACCAAGGTTGCAGGTTTGTTCCCTGGTCAGGGCACAGACAAGAATCAACCAAAGAAAGCATTAATAAGCGGAACAACAAGTTGATGTCTCTGTCTCTCTTTCAAATCAATTTTTTAATAGAGTTTTTGATTTTTTAAAAGAGTTTATTTATTTATTTATTTTTAGAGAGGGAAGGGAGGGAGTAAGAGAGAGAGAGAGAAACATCAATGTGCAGTTGCTGGGGGCCATGGCCTGCAACCCAGGCATGTGCCCTGACTGGGAATTGAACCTGTGACACTTTGGTTCGCAGCCCAAGCTCAATCCACTGAGCTACACCAGCCAGGGCTCAAATCAATTTTTTAAAAAAAGGGGGAAAGAAAAGAAAAAAGAACTAGGTTCATACTATATACACCATACTTCAACATTCCTACTGGAGAAAAGGAGACACCTTAGAACATCTAAGGTGTATCTTAGACACCTTTGGAATCATTGCTTTAAATGTGCAGATAATTTTTAGTTTAAATGTCTAATTAGAATAGAATGAGGAGGAATGCTGTCCATTTCCCCTGCCAGAGCGCCCCCTGTGAGGTCTAGGCCTTCTGCTGTTTCTTTCTCCTTTTCCCAGCCAGAGGTGTCCCTAGGGGACAGACCCTGGTCAATACTTAGAGAGTCAACCCCAAAAGGCCTGAGGACCCTTTTGGTCAACTGGGAGGCCAGTAACTAAGGGAGAAGGCCAGTAGCTGCTCACAGCCCTCTGGGGCCCTCAATTTGGGCCCTTCTTGTCTTGGCTCCAGGAATCTGATTGCCTAAGGATTAATTCAGCCATTGTTGAAAAAGGCTCACATCCTGGCAGAACTAAGCCTACTAGTAGCCTTAGGGGAGAAATGGCCTGGGTTTCCTGTCGTTATGGCCTTCCTCCGTGGTCACAATGCCAAGTGACCACGGTAGTTTCAAGAACTCTGATTCTTCCCTCAGCCTACCTGGGCTCAGGGGGCCTCACTCTTGGTTTGTGGCATAGCACTCACGTGAGCCTCCGCAGCTTTCTGGCGCCCGGCCAGATTCAGTCTCTGAAGAACCCCTTGTTAGCCCCATGACTCAGTTTCTCTATTTGCTCACGTGGGCCTATGGCGTGAAACACCTGTGTGGAATGCGGAGGGTGCCTCTGACTTCTCCAGAGTGCGTGCTCCCAGGCGGAGCCCCAGAAACGGACATTTATGCTGCCCAGAGCGCTGCTTATGGCCGTGCCCTATACTGACCCTGGTGAGTCTATGCTGCCTGGAGTGGCAGTGCTCGTCCAGGTGCACCGGCAGGACTGCTGGGGACACACCGCCTGGCGCCCGCCGAGATTCTCGAAGGGCCCAGGTCATGGACAGGCAGACTGGGAGATGACCAGGGCTTACGTCCGTACCTACGTCCGTGCCCACTGCCGGTCGCCTGATGCAATCCAAAGCGCCCTTGCTGCATGTCAGAACTGAGAAAACCTCCCCCGCCGTTGCATCACTCCTGACATATTTGCTACAGAGGTGGAGCCGAACCAATCATCGGGCGCGATGGGCCTCTAAGTTACCCACTCACAGGGTGGAGCGGTTAACCGGACAGCACAACCCAAAGGTAATTGGCCAGAGGGGATTTGCCCCGCCCCAATCACTGTGACAGCTGGCAGCTGCGGGCGGTGCCTGCCCGCCGGAGGGTTTAAAAAGGGCTTTGGAAAGGGCAGCGCAGCTGGAGCGTCTAAGCGGTGCCAGGCCAGGTGTGCGAGTCCGTCGGTCTTTCCGTGCCTGCGCCGGAGATCTGTCCGGGAGACCGTCCGGGCCCGTCCCTGTGCCCGGCACCATGAAGCAGGAGTTCATAGCTCAGAACACCTCACCTATTTCACCACTCCCCTCGCCACCCGCCTCGCCACCCGCCTCGCCACCCGCCTCGCCACCCGCCTCGCCGCCTGCGCAGCGCTCCCGGGACAACGGCCACCCCCAAGCGCTGTGGATTTTCGGGTATGGCTCCCTGGTGTGGAGGCCCGACTTCGCCTATAGCGACAGCCGTGTGGGGTTCGTGCGTGGCTACAGCCGCCGGTTCTGGCAAGGAGACACCTTCCATAGGGGCAGTGACAAGATGGTGAGCATCCAACCATGACCTGGGGAATAAAGATGGGGTAGGGGCAGGACAGTGGGCTCTGGAATGCCTAGGGCTCTCTGAGCAGACTGACTTCTCAATAATGGGGGAAATAGGTAAACCAGTGTCTTGGGTTTGTGGCTTAAATTTGCGTGCCCAGTGGATTACTGTGTGACGGCTTCAGTCTGTGATCCTGTGGGCAGCTGTGATCCTGTGATGAATATTTATGATTATCAATCCGGCTGCTGCCATGTGTCTGTTTCTCCTGCATCTGTGCAGTACTCCCTCGCTCTCCCCTGGATGAGTGGAGCTCTCTGAGGCCTTTGCTGGCAGGGTTGATAAGTCCTCTGGCAGTAATGGCAGCACTGATTTCTAACTTGTCTTTTTCAAAATCTTTCTTTCCTTCCCAGCCTGGCCGCGTGGTGACCCTTCTTGAAGATCATGAGGTAAGTGTCAGAGTGAAGAGAGGGACCCTAAGGGCCGAGCGTGGAGGGGTGGCAGGTCCTTGGCTGCAGATTAAATTAGATGTCCCTCTGGGCAGAGGAAAGGGTGGTCCAGCTCAGTGCTTCTCACAAGAGTTTCCTGAGGGTCTTGTTAAAGCCTGAAACTCACATTCCTGACAAGCTTGCCAGGGGATCCTACTGGTTCTTAGACCACACTCTGAGTAGCGATCCTGTTCACCCTGGGGCCCAACAGCCTTGTTTAAAAAGGGAGGTGGAGGCTTTGCTTCTAGTTGGCTTATCAGCCTTCCTTCCACTTCGCTTCTGGAGCAGATTCCTGGGGTGGGTGTGACCATCAAGGAGCTGTTGTGACTGACCCCTATGCCCATGTTTCCTCCTAGGGCTGCACTTGGGGTGTGGCATACCAGGTGCGAGATGAACAGGTGAACGAGGCTCTGAAGTACCTGAACGTGCGGGAAGCAGTGCTCGGTGGCTATGATACCAAGGAGGTCACCTTCTACCCTCAAGACACTCCTGATGAACCACTAAAGGCCTTGGCCTATGTGGCCACCCCACAGAACCCTGGTTACTTGGGGCCTGCACCTGAGGAGGCCATTGCTACACAGATCCTGTCCTGCCGCGGCTTCTCCGGCCATAACCTTGAGTACTTGCTGCGCCTGGCAGACTTCATGCAGCTCTGTGGGCCCCAGGCACAGGACGAGCACCTGGCAGCCATTGTGGACGCTGTGGGCACCATGCTGCCCTGCTTCTGCCCCACCGAGCAGGCTTTGGCACTGGTTTAAGGGGGCTAAGCCTTTGCAGGGAGTGCCTGCATGGACACGGGGGCTAGATCCCCACTCCTGTGCATACAGACAGACTTGGTACAGCTGGAGCCCACTGAGAGGACTCAGCGGACAGCAGGGACTCCTCTCCCTAAGCCCCTGCCTGTCCACCAGTCTCCAGCTCTCTCCTGCCTGACACTGACCTACTACTTGAAAGTATTTATTGCACCATGTTGGTGTGGTGAGCAGGGCAGGGGGCCTGCCCTGGACTCATGGGCCCTGCTGAGCGGTGCCCATCACTGGTGCCTGGTGCCTGACCAGATTTCCCTCAGTGCTGCTGCTAACCCAACTCCGCCCAGGCCTCTGCCTCCCCAGGGAGTCTCCACGAGCCTTGACCCTCTAACTCTCTAGCCCCAGAAATACCACCTTTGAAAGGTCTCAGCCTTCTGGTGAGCGACAGGAGGGTGTGAGGAAAGGGGCTCCTATGGGATCTGAGGCCCCTGTCACGGTGTCTCGTCCCCCAGGGCAAAGCTGGATCTGGGGCCCAGGCACAGCTGCTGAGGCTGGGCCTGGAACTCTGACCCATTTGGCTTTGCTTTCTTGTCCTTATGTATGTCTGTGTCAGTCCTATCTGTCTGTCTGTTTATTCCTGTGTGAAATTCATCACTATAGGCCCTGGCACCATCCCAGTCTGTCCCACACTATTACCCATAAACTGATTTCTTACTATCTGTACCATGTTGGAATGTGATTCTTTCTTCAGATGGCGGGGCGGGGTCAGGGTGAGTGAGGTGGTGAAGCCCTGGAAGCCTCATAAGAGGGGAAGGGACTCCCTCGTTGCCTCTGTCTCTCTCCCAGGAAGCAGGAAGCTCAGCAGGCAGACTGCTGGGTTACATCACTCCCAGGCGCCCCGCTCATGTCTTAGTGTGCAGAGAGAACACCACAGAGCCATGCAGGATCCAGCCTGTGTGGCTGTATCTGGCAGCCCTGCGAGCGGCGTTCTTGCCACTGAACTGGTATCTGTGTCTCTGCCCCGAGGAGGCTGGCAGGCTTGGAGCTCAGACCAGGTCTTTATCCTGGGCTAGCTGCTGCCTCTTCCTGATAGTGAGGCTCAACTTCTGGCTTCCTGCCGGAGGAACATGTGGCTTAGGGTAAGGACCTGACAACTTTTGGCATAATGCTGGCGGTGAAGACCTATAGCCTGGAGGACCTAGTGTTTCTTTGACTTCTGAAGTCCAGGTGCGGACTGTTGCCTCCTCTGGGGTGTGGGCTGTCCCTTCTATCTATCTTACCCTGACCTGCCAGGACACTCCCGTGATGGAATGGGCTGCTCGTTCACCGTGCCTACCCCTGGCTAGTGCTCCCCACCCTGACCCGAGGCACAAATCCTTGGTCCCAGGACCTCAGCCAACCTTGGGCTCCGCAACTGTGAATAGCCCCTCAGTGGACTTAGTCTATGCTCCTGGACCTGCAGTAACGGTGTGGGGCCCAGGTGAGAGGCTCTAACAGCCGAAGAGACTGTCTCCAACCCAGCTCCTTCCCTTTCTGGCCTAGTGACTCCAGGAAAGTGTTCGGCCCTCTGAGCATTAGTTTACACTGGGATGCTGTGTGCAGTGTGCTGCTGCTGCTCTTGTGGCTGGTGTCCTGGATCGGTCTGGGTGTCCCCAGGAGGGTCAGCTCCAACCACTTTCGGCCGCGTTGTGCCTGGGGAGTGTGCCCATGTGTTGGCAGCCTCATGTCTTGGCCGCTGATGGAGTTCAGTCAGGGCAACACAACAGCAGGAGGCAGGGGTGGCAAGGAACCTGGGTGGCCACCTCCTGGCCCTCCTGTGAGCTCAGAGCAGAGCCCAGCTCTGTACCAAACAGGTGTGGAGAGGGCTGCTTGTCAGTGTACATGGGTTCAAATTCTTCAACCCATTTGTGTAGCGAGTATTTACTGAGCTGCTGTAGACCAGACACTGATCTAGGCACTGGGGATACAGCAGGGAAGAGGGGAAGAAATCCTCGGCCTCGAGGGACTCAGAGCCGGAAACCTGGATGGTGACTATTCAGCCCGAGATGTGCTGCGATGGAAGGGGGTGGGGCGTTCAGTTTAGAAAGGGCTCCTGGCCTGCAGGGGGGTCAGGGAAGACTTTCTTGGGGAGTGATAGGTCTGAGCCCTGAGCCTGAGAATAGGACTCTGGGAAACACAGGCAGGGAACAGCTCGTGCTAGAGAGAGAAACAAGGTCAGGCCAGCTGGGACAGAGTGGCTTGACGGAGGGAATGTGGGGGTGGACCCATGCCAGGACTGCATCTGCGTCCTGCTGGCCAGCCCGATGAGCTGGGTTGTGGAGGTGGCATTCCTCCTGGATCAGTGCGGCCGTCTGTGGATTCTGCAAAGGGAGGACTCTGCCTAAGAGGGACACCAGCTGCTGTATCTGGTCGGAGGAAGGCCAAGGGGAGGCCAGGGAGGGGTGCAGGTGGCCTGAGCTGAGGTGTGGCAGTGGGCACGGCCGCAGGGTGAGGCCGGCAGGATTCGGGGTGGCTGGTGGAGAGGAAAGCGAGGGAGAGGCGAGAGGGCCAGGGTTCGGAGTTGGAAGGGCGAGCTGGGATTTGCCCGTGTTGGAGTGGTTGAGTGGGTGGAGTCGGCGTGGGGCAGCCCCATCCGCGTGGGTGTGTAGGAGGCAGCTGAGTATGTGGGTCTAGGACTCAGGAGAGAAGTCTGGGCCGGGGGTAGAGATTTGGAGTCACACACATTGAGAGAGTGCTGGTAGCCCCGGGACTGGAGAGAAAAGAGGACAGGGCCCAGCCCAGCCCTGAGCTTCCCAGCCCTGGCGACCTGGGTGGAGCACTGGTGACCTGGGTGGAGCACGGACAGTAAGAACAAGCAGATGGAATGAGGGAGGAGACTCGGGGCGGGGGGGGGGGCCCCCCCGAGGACAATAGGGACCAGAACGTCCCTTGGATGATATGCTGGGGTCCTCAATAGCCTCAGTGAAGGCAATTTCAGAGAGTGGTGAGAAGCCAAAGACAGGACTGAGGAGCCAGTGGGAGAGGGCGTGGACAGCTCTCAAGAAATTTGGATGCTACTGGGAGCTGAGGGGTCATGGAGGGTGTGGGGGTCTCAGGACTGCTTCACAAGTTAACATTTATTTCAGACCCCAGAGCTTTTGTTTATGTGGAATTTAGCTATTGACAAAACACAGTGTATCAGAATTTGAGAAGTTAAAAAGGTATTTATTAAATTAAAAATAAAAATAGCAAATCCCTGCCCTGACTGGTGTGGCTCAGTTGGCTAGGCATCATATCACAAAGCGAAGGGTCCCTGGTTTGATTCCCATTCAGGGCGCATGCTTAGGTTTTGAGTTCACTCCCTGGTCCGGGCGTATGTGAGAGGCAACTGAATAATGTTTCTCATATTGATGGTTCTCTCTCTCTCCCTTCCTTCCCCTCTCTCTAAAAGTAAATAAATAACATCTTTTAAAAAAGAAATCCATTACACATTAATGTATTTTAAAAAATGATTCTATTTTCCAAAACAAACAGATTTAGTGAAAAGACTGGCATTGTTATATATTTTTTTAGTGTCTGACAGTGGAAGCAGCTGGAGTCTTATCTCTTCTGCATTTAATCTTTTGCAGGTCCACGTGTACAGCCCTGGAAAACTCCACCATACGCTCGTGAGAAATGATAGTAAAAAGGCAAATAACCTCTTAGTGGTACTGCAGAAATAGTTTTGATCTTGAAGACCCCCTGGGAAGGTTTTGGGGACCCTTAGATGTTTCTGGGCCATTTTTGAGGACTGCTGGTGTAGGATCATTAAAATTTTTTTTTTGGTTTCTTTGTTTTTTTTTACTTGGAGGAATTCAAGGAGGGCGATGGTTGGATGCCCAACCTCAGGCTGCAGCTTAAGAAGTTTCAGAGTTAACGGAGACCTCAGAAATCATCCTGTCCCTCCCCGGACGGCATCCTTTTGGAGAACCTGGAGTGTGAGAGGGAAAAATCAGCCAACTCAGTCCCCGGTTATTGAGTTCACAGAGGCCCCAGGGCCCTGGACCTGCAGCGATGGGAGACTGCCCACCACAGAGTCTCCGCACACCCGACCCGGGGTTAGGGCCACTCCCGGAGCAGGGGATGGGGCCCAGACGCTCAGCTGTGGTAGGGCCGTAAGGAAGCCTCAGGACCCCACCAGGTAGAGTGGGCATTCCCGGGGTGTGGGGGTGGCTCCAGCAAAGGAGGGAGCTGCACAGAGCTTGGCAAGGAGCTATGTAAAGAGAGCCCTGGGGCCTGGGGGCAGGCTGAAAGCTACTCTGGAGTCAGTTTTTGGAGGAAGTTGCAGACTGTATCTTGTGGGGAAGTTGAGCTCTGTGGGGGTGTTTCTGTTTTCCATGTGTTTTTTCTCCCACAGGGGTCTTGGTTTGTTTTTGTTCTTTTGTTTTGTCTGCTGGTTAAGCAGACGTCCTGTTCAGCCTGGGTTTAAGGAGGCTAGTGCTTGTGCAGAGGAAAGGCAGCTAGAGGCTGTGAAACCTGGCGGGTGGGGGCCCCGGTAACATCCCAGGCAGGTGCTGGGGAGGGCTGGACTAAACAGGGACTGGAATGTGGGGACAGCTCCTGGCTGCCCATGGGAAATAGGGGACAAGCAGGAGGGAGAAGACTGGGATCCCCAGGTTTTGCTGAGAGAGGGCACGGGCAACACGGGGGGGTGTGGGTGGACACCCTGGCCTCCGTGCACCCTCCTAGGGCTGGCAGGCTCCTAAGGGTTGTCCAGGTTGCCCCCCATGGCCCCCAGGAAGGACCACATCCCTCTGGGGGCTGTCATTGCTCTGAAGACAGTGGTGTTGTCCTCATCAGTCATTAGGGAAGCAGAAGGCGGGGGGGGGGGGGAGATGGGGCTCGAATGACGAGGACCTGCCCTTCCCCCAGGCCCGGCCCTGAGGAGGGCTGGGTGCTCCAGGGTGCGAGTCCAACTTCAGTGCAGACAGGTTAGGGGAGGCCGGTCACAGGGAGAGTGTCTCTGGGGGCCATGGGCAGAGCACAGGGTCAGCCCGTGGCTGGAATGACCACATATCCCAGGACAGGCCTCGTTTACTCCTGTTGTCCTGGACTGATTATTACTTTCATTCTCAGAAGCATGCAGTTTTGGACGGTTGATTGCCTGGCGGCTATGGACAGTGGACCCAGCAAGGCTGCTTTACGAGGTGGCTGTCAGAAGGACTTCACCAAAGCCTCTGTCCAGTCTTGTCCTGTGTTCTCCTCGCTCTGTTTCTGGACCCTCACCCCCAGCCAGCGGCCCGGAGAGGTCACTGTCCTCTGCCCTTTCCTGGTTACCCTGGAAGAGTCCCCACCAGGCCCGCCCTTCCCAATTCAGGCCTGCCCCCTGCTTTCACTCCTACCCTGGGTGTTTCCTTGGGCATGAAGGAAAACTGGACGCACCCTGAGGGTGCAGCCGCAGAGCTGGTCTCTGGCGCTGGCCCTCACCCTCCAGAAGGGCGAGAGCACCATCTGCACCTGCGCCTCTCCCCTGTGTCTGCCCTTCCTTTTTGGCCCCGGGACCCCCACCGCACACTCACCAGCACCTGGCGCTCAGTCCCTTCCTTGGCTCTGTCCTGGACCCTGCTCCTTGCCCTGGTCCCTCCCTGGAGCACAGACCTGACAGTAAGGTGGAGCCCAGGCGGAGCCTCCCTCTCACCCAAGCCTAGTGGTGGGACCCAGCCTTCTTCCTCACACTTCCTTCCTCACTCCTCTGTGCA